CCTTAAAAGATAGAGTAAGTTTTTCTCTACAAAACTGTATATTTAGACTTTTCTTAAATAATTTTTAAATATATTTATGAAGTATTAAGCTTCGAAACATGACAAAAAAAATATGTGATAATTTTCAAAATTGTGCGCTGTTTTTCAGTGTTTTTATGAAAAAAAAATACCAAAAAAATATCCGGGCTGACAATAGTTCCTTATGAATTCGATAGGGTGAAAAATAACTGTACAAGATGCACCTAAAAAAGTAACCAAAAGGGTGTGGGTGTAAGTATTGATATTAACTTTACACTCACACCCACACCCAGTTAAGAATTTAATTCTAAGAAATATGTCGTTTAGATTACAAAAAGACAATCAGAATAGATAAGGTTGTAATATATTGATATTGTTCAATCAACAGTAAAGAACACATATTTGTACTAAGATTCAGTTCAAAGCATTTCATTATTTACTTAATATGATTCGAAAAATTTATTTTTGACTAAAATTTACAAACCGAAAACCAATCGTAACAGCGAAAATCTTTGGATAACAGAATATGATCATATTTAGTAAAAGAAGATCTTTTCAGATTTGGGAAGTCAGAATTTCGGTCTGAAACGAAATTCATCTTACTGTTCATCATAAAAAAATAGTTTAACTTCGATGAATATATGTAGTACATTTCATAGTGCTGAGCAGTGTGCTTTTAGATCACATAATAATTATAGCATTCTGTTCAGTATATTGCATTTCGAAAGACAGTCCATTTTGTTATTTATCGAAATGATATTTCTCATCACTACAAAGCAAGATGTTCAGACCCTTGACGTTACAATTTCCAATTTGTATGTGTAGTTCATAATGACTAGGTAAAAATAGCCACAAAGAAAAAGAATGAGATAAGTCACAGAGCAATAAAGAATAACCATGGTCATAGAGATGTTCGTAATTCGATGAATTTCTTGAAATAATCCGAGGCAGAAAAGTACAATTACTTGATCGAAGATTAATAGGCAATAATGATTGATCGATATTTAACTCCCACAGTGATTTACAATCACCATTGTAAGAAGCGGAGGCACAAGAATAAGAGTTTCGTGAGCGTTTCATTAATCAAGAAAACCATTGATTGAGAACATATTCATCATACATACAACTTTTTATGGTCAATGCTATACAGACATCGGACGTGTATTGTTCTTTTAGTCAGTTATTAAACAATGAAAGCTGACATAACAAGAAGAGCTAATGCGGCGGCAAACAGAAGCATGGTTCTATTCAGAGTAGTTCAAAATATTTTCATAGTCGTCGACATAAAATTAAAATGTACTTAACTTTAGTATTTTTCATAACGTTCGTTGTTGTATGGAAAAGCTTATTAGCATCAGCCAGACATTCGGATTGAAGGATACGATGCTACGTTTTTTATATTTCGTATAGACATATATAGAAAAAGCTTTTAATGCAATCAATATAGGATTCAAATGTGAAATATAATGAAAGTATTGTAATAGGATATGGATGGGTGTGTGTGTCGTTTCTTCATCCACAATCACACCCTCAAGATGGATGAGTAACATTTCCTATCCTTGGATTCAGATGTCAGGTATGTTCCTGCAGTTAACATAGTGTAAAGAATCAGCAAAGAAAATATAGTCCAGTGAACTTTTGAATTGCTCAGTGCTGCGTAAATTCTGACTATGCCACTGAATAATGATATGTAAAAACTAGCTTTGTATGATTATCAACGACAAACTCATTCTGGATGGAATCTAACAAATAATTATTACAATAAAGTTGGTACTACTTATTAGACATTAATTTTTATTGAAAACAAAAAGAAATTTTTTTAAGTAGAATTTATCATATTGTATTCATCTGCAGGCATAGCCACTAAATCAAGTACAGGTGAAGCATCTCGTCCTCCATATTTAGTTATTGCTCCAGTTATTTGTCCACGATGATGAGTATTATGATTAAAAATATGATCAAGTGCTTCAGCACGATTACGTTTACATGTTTTGCCTTTTATATCAAAGTATGTAAATGATTCTTCCATCATTAAAGATTCTGAATTAAGTTGTTTGATATAATCAATCAATCGATCACATTCAATAAATATTCGTTGATGAAGATCTTTACGATTAGTAACTGCTTGTTCTAAATCATTTGCTGAACGAGACCAATAAGAATTAAGTTCAAATGGATATTGTTCATCATTCAGAGGAAATAATGACGGATTAGTAAGACGAGCATGCCAAATTTTGTTTGATAAAAGTAAATGTACTAATGTACCATGAATTGATCGAAAGAAGAGACTACTATTAGCATGATAATTTTCATCAGATATATGTTCATTTAATTTATTATAAAGTTGTCGAAATGCCCATCGATTATAGATGGCCATACGAAGAAAATGTTGTTTATATGCATTCATTTTTTTGTAAACTATCTTGTTCTTGTATTGTATATCATAACTCGAGTATTCATTGTAACTTGCCTTCACCAATCGAGTTCTTACTTTAATTGTGTTTTCTCTGTTATACTCTCATACGAAGGCGCTATCTATAGATGAATGATTTAAAAACTAAAAATGCCGATAAATTCACAGAAGTGTTCAGAATTTAAAGACAAATCTTGTTTTTTTTGTCAAATAATAAACCGTAAAATGCAATGATTGTTCTTATTCTTCTGAATACAATAATCTATAGGATCTCTTTTCAAATATCCTATAATGTGACCATCGAAAAGATTAATTTCTATCATATTGAATATGCTTTTTTAATCCACAGTTATTGTGAATATATATGCACCGTTTTCCACGTTCTACCGTTGACCATTTCTATCCATTATTTATTATAATTATTCGTTATTAGACAAAAGATTGATATTACACGAAAAAAAAATTGAATTACTCAATGGCTTCAACAATGATAAAAATTTATTAAATGCAAAAATTAACTGAAACATGTACTATTTCATCTAGTTTTATATCAAATATATTAAGACGTAGAGAAAAATACCTATATGATTATAAAACACATTAAAATCAAAACATTTAAAAGTATTAATGCAGAAAAATTTGACAATTGTAAAAATCTTTTTAGTTTTTAGTGTCAGTGAACAAGATGATGTACTCTCAGTAATATTTTGTTCTACTGATATATTTGAACATATAATATTTTGTCTTCTCTAGTTCCATGTTTTAAGTTGGGCTTTTCATATACAACGGAAATGAAGAGACAAAAATGTAGAAAAATCTCTGATAGTTCACTGTTAGTTTGATGCAATTCATGTTTTCGATAGTCGTGCTTTTTCCACTCTAACCCATTCCAGAAACAAGCCAAGAGCTGTCTTGATAATCAATTTTGAGAGATTACTCTCAATTTCACAAGATCACCATAGAACGAATTCGATTTCAAAAACTTGTCTCTTTGTTTGCTATCATTTAATAGTCGCTAAAGCATTTTTGCTAGCAATGATTGTTGAAATTTGAATCTCAACCTTCGACAAATTAGTGGAGAGAAAAGGCAAAATACATTTTTCCATATTGCTTTTCTTTCGTCTGTTGACCATCCTTTGCATGATAATTGAATCATATTCAAATGAAAACGAGAAATTCATAAAAAAACGAATCATACGACAAAAAAGCTTTCAACACAATCCTTGAGCAATTAAAATGTGCAAAACTACTGTTGATTTCAATAAAAAAAAAATGTGAGCTCGTCCATGTAAGTCATGATCGTGTCTGATCAGCCCGTTTTTAGTGAATATAGGGTGTGGATACAAACACCCAATTAACCATTGGTGGTTGTCAAAATGGTAAGAACGCGTTTTCGTATGCATTCCTTTGCAGAAAAAAGAAGTTTTTTATCCTAGGAACGATGAGAAGAGTTTTTGGCAAGCTGTTCCAAAATTTCTCAATTGCCTAGGTACATCATTCAAGGAAGATATCACCAAACGTGAGTGAATGTTGATCACTCAGAATTCAGAAAGAATTTATTTGTTTTCTATTGATCATAAAAAACAAAACAACGTGCTTCCATGCTCATCTGTTGGGCATCGTTTGCAAGCACGTAATCGTTGACAAATCTTGTGTGAGCATAAAATTGGGCAACATTTGGGTTGCTATCGAAGATTTTGAAGACCAATATTTCGTCGGACCGCATTTGACTGACATAGTATCATTCTTGAGCATCTTATGGGTGTGGGTGTGAGTGTGATCCTCTTCAACGACTCACCCTCCACCAATCCACTCCATACCCACACCCCAAATTAAAAGAAGATTGACTCATATCTCATCGGCGCGTCAGAAATATTTTCGAGTCCAGACGTACGATATGAATCATTACTCGTACGACAAAACAATTCAAGTAAAATTTTCCCAACCATATGAAATTTATTAGTCTATGAATATCTTCAAATGTTCTTTGTTTTTTTATCGAAGCGTTTCATGATTAGGATAATAAAAGTGTAAAAAGAAAAAATATTTAAAAAAGCAGACAAGTCACTGTTGAGTCATTTTTTAGTTATTAATGCGATTGATGCCAATAAGTATACGTTGAATAAATATGTTTCATGATGGATCGCTCAATTGTAATTGTGTGCAATATATGTCATTACGTTGATTTGTTCGTTGATAGAATTCGATCGCTTTGTTTATTTGTTCGCTCATATTAGCAGGTAAATCGTTGCAAAGATGAACCTTCGAGATATAAAAAGATTAATCTAGAAAATGAGAAGATCGAAAAAAATTCAGCTCACTTTGATTTTTTCGATATTAAATAAAAATAAAAATGTATTCTGTTGTGACGGTTGTGTTTGAAGAACAAGCCAAATAAGAATAACGCCTGTGTCGCTCAAACAAAGAATTTCATTGCGTGTTCAACGCTAACAAAACAAAAACCTCATATTTCTATACGTCAACAATAAACCATTCAACATTACCCAATAAGGTAAAATTTTGTTCACGTAAATAGTTTTCAAGACCATCGAAAATATCAAAATCAATGTGAAATACAACAGCTATGTTTTTATTCAATGTAAATGAACCATTCTATATTCGAATTAAATACAAAACAATAAATGTTTAATGAAATTCCAAAATAATACAATCTTGGATTGGAGTTTGAAAAGCTCTTCAATCTTGGGTGTGGTAGATCGAACATCTTTCAGTTTATTAAGAAGTGGAGTACTAGTCGTTTGACCTAAATTAAAATACTATTGTTGTAAATAACAATAATGAATAAATTACCGCGTGAAATGACAGGTTCACCGGAAAAATTAGGTATTCTAGATTTAGTTTGACCATCGAGCTAACAAAAGATCAGAAAAGTAAACAATCGAACTCTGAAAATATGTCATAATGCAAACCATGTACAATGGATCATTTGGTTTGCGCTCATAAACTATAAAATAACAATAATTAACTATCATTTATACTTTCAAGACTCACTCAATATAGCTGTAAAACTTTGGTCACTGTTAACATGTGTAATATGTCGCTCAATATCATCTCTTGTCAATCCTACATAAATATAAATTAGAATTAATTACGATATCAAACAGTTATATAATTATTGTATATTGTTGATCATTGGATGTGACAGTAAAGGAAGCTTTGACACCTGAATGTGCTTCTTCAGTATCGACACGAAGTGTACCATTAACATCAATATCCATGCGAATAGAGATTTCGAGTATCTGAGCAGCATAATTGCTTGTCAGACCAGAAAGACTAAACTCACCCAAGAATACCTACAATCGAAAAAGTTACCAGAAAACAATGTTGAACTTCGGACACTACACACATTGTATTTTGTAAGATTATGTTCACCTTCAAATATGCGAATGGAAGCTGTTGTTTGATAGGCATAAGCATTTGTGAACACTGAATAGAATTGTGTAGGTGTTGGAATTGTTGTATTACGACGAATAAGTGTGTGCATTTTATCATGAATATCCTGAATGTCGAGACCAAGCGGACAGATATCGAGGGGAAGGAGATCACATATGCATATGTCGGATATTGGGACCTCTTTCACTGTTGGTTGAATGCTAAATTTGGATGATTAATAATTAATCATAGTGCACCTACTTGATATATGTTAAAACTTACGTTCCGAGTTTTGTTCTTCTATAAACTATAGAGCTCAGCATTGTCTCGCTAGATAAGGAACTTGTCTTTTTATTGTCATCATCTTGCTTCTAGAAGTGTATGAAATTTCCGAAAATAAAAATTGCATGTTAATGCACATATTGCGAAGTCTCGAAACGATTCTCTTATCTTTTTCTTACGCATCTTCTCACAGCATTTATCTTCATTTGTAGAAGAAAAAGTAGGACGAATGAGTGAGTGATTTCAACTAACTTACCATACATTGAGCTTTGTAATTTATTGGCAACAACCAGTAACCGATCATGTTTACCGCTAGGTGGCGGAGTTTCTAAAACTGTACATACCATATTCATGTTGGGTGTAGGTGTGTGTGGATGTGCGATCGGGGTTTGGGTGTGGGTGTGGATGTAGAAGAAAAGAAGGCCTACACCCGCACCCACACTCACTGATGTATTCTATCACCTTTTCATAGAATATGGGTGCTGGTGCAGATGAAGTGGCGACCTACATTTATATCTCACACTCATCCTAGCTCAATTACGATAGAATTCTTTGATACTACCTGACTGACCTCCTTAAATTAGTTTTAAATTAAAATCGAAACTGTAAAAATGTCATTTCTTGTCGACTTCTATAAAAGTAATCCTTGCTGGTTTATTGTCAATAAGATATGAAGGACATAAAAGAAAGTGTTCAAGTAAATAATTAAGTGGGTCAATTAGCCATTGCATTGATCAATAATCTAGTCTTTCAATGGCGATTCTGTTGAATTCATCATTAGAGTTGTGTTTTTCACCATGCTACAATCTGTATTAGAAGAATATTGCGAATTAAGAAACATACTGATATACTCCTTGTAGCGTAGTTCAATATCGTCGGTTGTCATTTCATAATCGATGAGTCTGTAAGAATTGCGACCTTGCTTGCCCTGAGGATTATCGCGTAGCCATGCAAGCATAGCCATTTCAAACTCTTCTGACCAGGTAAGGCCAAAGTGCTTGTAAATGCGACGAACTGTATTGATTGGTTGTGCAAGCAGGTCATCGTATAGTATGTCAAGACAAGGAACATGTTGATGATTACGTCGAAATTTGACAAGACGATGAATTAAAGTATCCATCAAATGAAGCGTTCGCTTCACAACTATTTGGAAATTGTGTGCTGTATTGGTCGTGTTAGAATCGAAATAGGGACGAGCGCACGCTGTTAATAGACGACAATATGATGGTAGGACATCGTCAAGTCGGCGATGAGTCATGATGAGTAAGGCTGAAGGATAGTGATACATGAGTTCATCGAGGTACAAACCATGGAGTGTTGCTTTAAAGAGCCAATGAGAGCGAGGTGCATCAACGTTGTTCAACATTTGTATGAAAGTCTTGTGATATTTATAGACAAAGTTCTTGTTCATATCATTTTCTAACCACAACAGGAGTTCGTTATTGTCATGAAATACAAGCAGAGCCTGAACCAAGTTACATCCTGCTTGATAAAGAATAAGAAGATCTTCTTCATATTCATATATGGGGTGAGAAGCAAGTTTATCCTGCTGATAATCCGTCAAGCCAACAGCGTTCAACATCTCACGGTATCCCGGTGCAGCAATATTGCGTTGTGTCCGTCCAATAGTGTCCGAGCGTGCAATTGGTGGTACGGGCTGGGTCATGTCTACATAGAGCGGTGCTCGACATGCTGGATCACAAGCCAACAAGTTGTAGAGAAGTGTTGTACCAGTGCGAGGCAGTCCGCATAGAACGAGTGGATGTGGTATCAAAGGTGCTGTAGTTTTCAATTCCGAATGAGAGGCCATATAGTTGAGTACAAGCTTCGAATTCATATAATCTCGTTCGAGTGCTGTGCATAGGATATGGCGACCGATTGGTGATAGTTGATCGTTGGCAAGTAAGTGCTTTGCGTAGAATTGAAATGTACGCAAAATCTCATCGTGGAATTCGAACTGTGTCTTGGCTTCGTCACTAAGATCGTCTTCAGAGAGATTAACAGTCGTGCGAAGAGCCACAGCATTCTCATTATTTTTCATATGTTCACATGATATGTTTCCATCCGATGTTTGTGTCATATTAAGCCAATTGAGTAACTCCTTTCAACAGTAAGATAATCAATGTACAGAGCTACAGTTTGATATCATTCAGGAGAGGAAACAAAGGCGGGAAGAAAACATCTACAAACCAAAGAAAATCTTCTCTTTGAAAACTATATCGAAAGCAATCTCTGCATTAAAAACTGTTGACTTTCCATGAACTCTTCAAATAAGGCTTTCTCTCATGGAGAAAATGGCCGTTTCTCAATGAAAAACTAGGGAGAAAAAGTGTCTATTTTACACATTCTCTTGTATTTACGCTATCAAAATCCAAGAAATGTGCTAAACAGAAATTGAGGAAAATTTTCTGGGAGAGGGGTTGAGCGTCGGTAAAAGTATATGAGGGAGAAAGAATTTATCTCTTCCGCGCCATCCTTTTCCGTTCTGATCGTATGTCTTGTCAATTCACTACTCATGCTCGACTTTAAAGACTTTTCATATAACAAAGTAGCATTTCTCCAGAAACATCATCAAAGGAAGTGATAGTTGTCTTTTAGCACAAATCATGGTCGGAAGTCGCCTTGAGCAATATGGAAAAATACAGACAAATTTCTTTTTTGACGTTTTATGTATCTTCCCTCAGCGGCAAACTATTTCCATAGGCTTCTATCGGATAGGCTAGAATAAATTAGACTACTTGTATTTTTAATATATCTCCTCTATTCTTCATTCAATTGAGATACTTTTTCTTATCAAAAGGTGGCGCTTGAAATTCTCTACAAAACTATATATGATTTGACCCAAAAACTATTTTACATATATTCGAAAAATGATGAAAACTAGAGACATACAAACACCTGTAAAAAACCAAATATGAAAATGCTCTCTAAAAAAAATACATATCCTTGGAAATCCTTAAGGAGTCTCCGGTTTTGTTACTATCCGATCTCTCAAAAACCTAGAAAAGTCAATGGCGACAATACTTGAGATCCTGATCTCGGAAACGGATTAAAGGTTTTCCAGCTCATAAAAACCTTTAATGTAATATGCCAACTGAAAACTCTGGCGTCGACTACAAAAATCTTGACATTTTGAATGACTTTATAGAAACTTTATCGAAGGTATCGAAAAACGATCCGTTTAAAATAGTGGGAAGAGAACAACTAAAATGAAGATGGAAGTAATCAATGTTTCTTATACCAACTAATATTTGTGTTTTATCGACATGAACCTAAAACTGAAAAAGATAATATTAATTTTCTGCTTGAAATACATAATTGATCATCTATATTTTATCGATGTGAACTTAAATATAAAAAGAAAATGTTAATTTTGTATTCGTAATGTGCAACTCATCATTTGTATCTTATCGATACGAATCCCAAACTAAAAAGAAATAAAGTACTCTTTTTCTATTTGTTATTTGTAACTGACCATTTGTATCATATTGATATGAGTCTTGACATAAAAAAATAAAAATATTAATTTTCTATTCATTATATGTAACTTACCATTTCTATCATATCGACTTCAACCTGAAAGTAAGCAAAACAAATTATTCATTTCTAAATTGCAAGATGTAACTCATCGTTTCTATCATATTGATATGAATCTTCACATTAAAAAAAGAAAATATTAACTTCCTATTCATTATATGTAACTTACCATTTCTATCATGTCGACTTCAACCTGAAAGTAAGCAAAAAAAATTATTCATTTCTAAATTACAAGATGTAACTCACCGTTTCTATCATATTGATATGAATCTTCACATTAAAAAAAGAAAATATTAACTTCCTATTCATTATATGTAACTCACCATTTCTATCATATTGATATCAACCTAAAAATAAAGAATAAAACTTTTTTTCTATTTGTTATATATAACTTCCCACCTTCGCATCTTATCGATACAAGTAACGCAGCGCAAACGCTGCTAACCCTCTACTGAAAGAATGAGTTGTACTGAAGACAGGATATTAGAAGTACTAGATATGGGAAATGATTCGTTGGCAGCACGTTAAGGAGCGGAATGAAACGAACCATTATTCTTCAAGAGTTGAAAATATAGATTCCCATATTCGGTAATCCCTACGGAAATTGCATATTCTGAGCATGTTGAAAATATGCTTTATATCCACGTGATATCATCAACATTCTCCGTACTCACTTTGCCCAGCTAAGTATTTTTATAGCATTATTTATAGTCTGATCAAAGTGTTAGTATCGCGTCCCCGAGTTTCAAAATGTCTGAAATTTGAAACCAAGCGATCGAAAGTGGCAAAAAGTCCTGTGTTAATGCCTGAAAATGACAATATGTCTGTAGCAAGGTGAGTATCAAGATTCCTGACTCCATCAAAGCCATTTTTGTTACTTATATTTCATGAAAAAGCTTGTTAGCGCAGCTCCTTTGAGGCTGAAATATGGAACTCATGTATACTCTCTAGCCTAATTAAACTAATACATAACACATAAAGTGATAAATCTCTCGTAGACTATAGGTGCTTGCAGGATATTTGATATTCAGAGTAATGAGTTCTCTAATTTCTGTACTTCGAAAATAATTTTTATTTTTTAAAATTCTTTTTTTCTTAATTTAACATTCTTACTATTATAATCATTGAATTAATTGACAAATATGTCTGTTTTACATATTCATGATATCTACAGCAGGTCTCAAGCACTATTATTTATGTTAATTAACTCACAAGTAGTAATATTTATTATTTTTCAAAATTATAACTTGATTAATTTTGCAACAAAATCTAAAAAATGTGACGCCTGTTATT